ATTAATGTGAACACAACAGCTAGACTATGGAAAAAGCATAAAAACAAACAACGCATGGAACAAAATCCTATTGTAAACAAGTCTCAACATACATCCAAAAAGTTCTCATAAATGGGACAACTCGCTCTCAAACCAGGAAAAACCCAGCTTAGTAGAAGAAACCAAGCACTTTCCCACCAACATTCTTCCTTCTAGCTTCCTCATGGTCCATAATACCAGCAGAAGTTGTGAGCACGATATATCCAAACTGCAATGACCAAGTCATTAATGTACAGTCAGCACAGCAAAGACATGACCAGAACCATAATTGGAAACAAGAATAATCACCATTGATTAATTATAGTTTACTTATAGATTCCATCACATTACATATCCTCATACAGATAAATATTGGTATGAGCTTCATTAAAATTTAAATCGGTTTTCCATGTTTGCAAAAGCATTCGGTTGCATGATCCTGATGCATCCTGTTTGCAGACATGATATTTGCAGTAAAAGCAGATATTGGAATTGAAATTGAAGTGAACTCGTTCACTTCATGAACTGACCTGTCTTGAGGGGAGCAACCTTGCAGTCCAGGTTTCAATCTCCTTAACACCAACATCAAAACGAGGACTGATAACCCCACATTTGTTCAACCTTCCATTTAGTTCGACAACGATTTTACCAGCCCTGTGATCATCAACAAACTCGAACTCACCAATATAACCTACAGAGCAGAATCCAGAAAGAATTACATTTAATTTACAAATCCAAAATGAAACAACAGCTAGAAAGAATACAAGTAAAGCATGGATCATTACCATGCTTTTGCATCACCAACAGAAATTTGATGATCACTTTTGAGGAAGGCCTGATCATGACCTGGCGCTTCCCACGTTTCTCTGCATTGTACATGCTCTTCAGAGCATCATTCAAAACACTAACTCGCACCATTGTTGCCGCTGGTACACAAATTTAACAAGTACAAGGTCAATGACTGCCAAAAGATTTTGAAATGCACATTACAAAATGTGTTATGGAAAGCAATTACAAACTTTGTTTTCCACTCTTCAATCACAACCATTTTAGGACAAGGTAACTAAACCCAAATCTCAATTCTACCTATTTCCCAACTTTCAAAAGAAAATGAAAACAGAAAATAAATTGGAAACACATAACAGGATATATAACAAGCTGGAGAAAACCAAAAAAAATATTAAATTCCACATTTTAGAGAAAGCTGATCACAAAAAGCCAAAAGAAAACATAAAAGAAATCAAGTTTAATCAAAACTGCTCTTTTTTTAGCCTTGGATGGCATATAAGGAGTTGATACAAGAAACCAGGCTTCAGTATTTCCCTTCTCATTTTCTATCACCAAAAGGACAAACAGAGCTGATGAGATCCGCCTAAACCACATGACTACACAAGAATCGATCCGAGAGCAATCTTTAAAGGGAAACACACACACACAAACAGAAGCAATACTCAAGTCTGTTGAGCTACGATGAGAAAAACAAAATAAAGGACAATGCCATGTTATAAAAATCAAATCAAAGAAAGGATTGATGAAAAATCCATGACTTATCTAAGACGTACCGGGAAGAGAGGCAGAGAGCGAACTGCAGAGGCGCCTCCTGGTGAAAACAGCGAGAGTTAGGGTTTCGAGAGGGTGAACATGTGAAATATTGTGTGTATATAAATGGTGGGTTTTGAGCTGATTTACTGGATTGCCCTCGTATTAGGTTTTTTCAAAAGTTGGGCCGGATTTTACTTTGTTGTTCGTCGATCGAGAAATATCGGGGCCTAACTAATTAATCCTCTCGTAATGAGTGGATCTTACATGAGACTTATTAGTGAGGCCCATTAATCAATCGTATGGTCGATGGGCTTTAGGAAACTGATTTAATGAGTTTCCATGGGCAAAGCATGTATTTATCCTCTACTGTATACATTTTTGTGGACCTCTTTTTAAGTATTTTTAGACTTTTTATAGATTAAATAAAGTTCTAGCAATGTACAGGTGATTTAAGAAACTTTTTTTTTTCGGATTTAATGTGATTAATAAATCTAAAAATAATAAAAATTGAGATCAACCTATTCTCTAGATTTTAATTAAAAAAGTAAAGAATATATTTCAATGTTTGCCTTATTTTCTTTCATTCGAGATGGATAAATTTGCATTTTACATGTTAATGATTGATTTATGTTATAATGTTAATATTATATTAAATATACAATGGAAATCAAAAGTTTTAAAATAATCCATCCCTCTTAGCAAATTATACATCACATTTTTTTGAAGTAGTGTTTTTATGTCGGGTTTAGATGTATTACTAAATAAAACTCAATATTTAAAGCTAGAATTAAAAAAAAATTATAAAAAGCAGGCCAATCATTTTTTTTCAGATTAATTTCTATATTTATAAAAATATGAAATTACCTTAGAGTGAACTCGTTAGTAACTAAAAAATTAATTTGATATACCTGCATCAACCATTTAAAAAAACTTTAATATCTACACCTACAAAAACACCAAATCATCCTCAAGTCAACTTGCTAATAATTAAAAAAAAAATAGTTTGAAGATACAAGAATATCCCTGGTTGTCAGTTTATAAAATTTTTCTTTTAAAGATATGATAGTGAATTGATTTAAATCAATTTTTTAAAAAAATATGTTATTAAGTGTGATATAATATTTATAAGGTGTTTTTAAAAAGCTAAAAAAAGAATTATTATAGATTAGTATGATAATAATAAAAAACCTCGCTTTTTTTTTTATCAGGAAGTGCAAAATAGTAATTAAAATATTATGATAAATAATGATATATATATCTAGATGTACAGTTAATTCACCTTACATCTTAAGTTTTTCTTTTTTCTTTTTTCCTGGCGCGTGAGCTAAAATGATCAGTATATGGATTATCCTGGCCTAGCTAGCCATGCAGTGGGGAATTAATTTGGAAGTGTAGACGTGGCTTTTTTTAAGTATGATAATAATTTTTTATTTTTAAAAATTATTTTTAAAATCTAAAAATATCAAAAATATTTTTTTAAAAAAGTACTTTTAAAATGCATTAAAATGCAGTATCAAATACACCCAATCTTTTTTAATTTATAAATTAACTAAAAAATGTTACTATCATGAACTAAAATAGTTTTCAAGATTGTTGAATTAAACTACAACAAAAATGTTACTATCATGAACTAAAATATCCAATGCTAAGAGTTTTCAAGATTGTTGAATTAAACTACAAAAAGTAACTTCAATATAATCTCAAATTATACGCTTATTATTTTTATGAATACTAAAAAATAAATTGTTTCAGCTGGGATCCCATAATTTTAGAGAAATCTTTATCGAATCCCCTATCTTTATCCAGTGATGAATTTCATCCTACCGGCGCATTAATTTCTCAATGTGTTCTTCTGTATACATGGAGCTTGACATTCGTCATTACAAATTTTGATTAAATTAAAAATTACAGCAGATCAGGGTGATTGGAGAATAGTTAATTGCAAGGGAGTCACCAACAATCCAAGGTAAATACAAACACCAGGACGTTGACAACATATACATGGGTATAATTACAGGTGTTGATCACCGGAGAACTTCGTGTTTATTATATATAGGTCATCGCAACCTATATACTCGTGCAAAGACAAAGAAATACATAAGCTTGCATGTTGACAATATTCAAGTCAACGTTATATATATATATATATGTATGTATTATTTTTAAGATACGTGGAGGTATTGTGTGTTTAAATTTATACTCTTGGATAGCTTGTGGATATTCATTTTAGAAAATTTTAATTTCACCATCTATTTATTCTATTTTATTTTTTTGAATGATTAATCGTTTTTTTCCTTTTTCTTTCTAGTTTAGTGCATTTCCTTGCCTAAAAGTATAGGATATCAACTCAAATATTATCAACTGATATGTGAAAAATAAGTTGTTGGTGCGACCCAAATTCTGATCAAGTTGATTAATGTACATGGATTAGTATGCTTAATGACTTATCCAATGACAAAATTGCCACGATAGAAAGGGAATAGGTCAGCATTAATCCTTGTGTCCAATGGCCAGGAGGATTAAGCCTCGCCGGGGCATGAGCCGACAAGCAGCAAGAACCATGCAGGGAAGACAAGATTTTTTTATATCTACTTCGGAGTAAATATTGTATCCCAAATTGAAATTCATTTGAAGATCTAGAGCTCAATTTTAACATGAAGCTAAGTGCTTTAGCCGTCTACACTATTTAACGAAAGATCAATGCTAATCTCATGGTTTATTGGTAGTCAAATTAAAATTGTATTTTTTTTAAGAAAAAAAGATAAGCTTGTCCCAATATAATATATTTTGCTGTCATAATAGCCTTTTTCGTCGAATTTTCCAGTTAAATCTTGGTTAGATTAATTTTTTAATATTAAAAAAAAGTGTATGTTTTTATTAAAGAAGGTAAACTATAATTTCTCCGCTTAACAATCTACCTTACTATTCCCAATGATGGTATCAATCCAATGGTACTTGATTGACCCATTCATGAAAAATTAGCACTTAATTTGACCTTTTTATTTATTTATTATTATCTGTGTTTAAAAACCGAGGCTGTGAAAACAAAATATTAAACATCCCTTTGGTTTTCCTCGTCAAAGCATTACTAATATTTTATTTAAGAAAATAAGTGTATTTTAACTTTTATCCCGAGCCAAGACAAGAACTCGCAACAAGCCGAATCCAAAACATCCAATATTGTCTTCGTAACTGGCCAGGTTGACGCCAGGGCCACGCATGTTTTTACTTTGTGTTTCTCTAATTACACAATTAATTAACTCATCGAATCTTAATAGAATACTTAATTTCCACTAATCAAAACAAGTCAATATGAAAAGAAAGGGACAGCATCGAAGAGGAGTTAACTGCCGTTCAGAGCCATTCCACCTACTTATTGAGTTTGTTCTTTCTCCAGACGAGTCACCCTGTTCCTCTCACCATGCAACAAATAGACTCGAGCTTCGCTGTGCCCACAAAACCACTCTCTCTTCGAAGGGAAAGAGTCGTTGCTATACTCAAACAAATCCTACACGATCATATTTACATCAAGACAATAATTTCTCCACTCAAGAGTCTTTTTAATTAAGTTGTTACCAGCAGGCAACAGAGCAAAGAATACCATCTTAGAGCCAGGAGTTATTTTTCTGTCTTTCAGACTGAGGTGGTGAAAGCTCTTGATTTATTTACGTACATTACTATCTTTTGAACATTTTCTTCTCAGTTTAGGTTATGGTAGTTGTTTAAGGATCTACGAGAGACATTTGGTCAAAACCTGTTAACACGAGAAGAAGAAAGCCTATTATTGCAATGCACTAGGCTTAATTACTTGAATTTATTTTGTAAGTTATAGCATGTTCACATGGACGTCAATAAGCAGTTGCTTGATCAAAACTGATTCGCATGTTCAAATTTAGTGGTTTTTTCTTCTCTTCAAACATCACAGCATGCTTATGCAAGGCTGGAATTTTCACTTCCCCTTCATTTTCAGTCGTTGTTGGACCACTTTTAATCCTTTTCCATGACAATAAATCTCTTCTTCCAGCTAAGAAGAGCTTCAACATCGTATGCTTATAAATTTTATTGTATATATGCATTTATATGTTGCTTCCAATTTGGCTTTATCATAATTTAATTAACTTCTGCCCTCTTATTTTCACTCTTGTTTCATCAGGTCACTGCGTTTAGAGCAGAAAACAAGCCTTTGAGTTCAGGCTTCTGGTCAGGAAACATTGATTCTTAAGAAATCTCATCGCAAAGAACATATAGTTATAATTTCTCAAAATGAGGAATGCTCTTCTTCCAACAGCATCTTCACACCTTTACAACTTCGGTAATCATCTTAATATCTTAAGATCTTCAAGATTTCAAAATATTTGGCTAGCTTAAACTGTGATTGAAGAGGCTCTATGTGAACAAGCTTGAACCGGACCAGAGTCCTTGATCATCAATTGCCTAAAAAAATTAGTAATATACTCTTGAAAGAGGGATTTGGGCTATCAACGATGTGATGTTGTTTGTATGTAACCAATTTGTTTCAGGGAACAATAAGGTTCAGAGGCCAAATCTGGAAGTCTCTATGTCAATGGATGCCAAAATGTATGTGTTCTTGCTCTCCTTGGTTTTTTTTTTTACGAAGAAGAATCTTAAACAAGAAAGGTGCTTTCTGTTTGTTTTATTTGTCAGTGGTGAAAATGATTTGTTAAAATCAAGATCCCATTAAAGAAAGACAAGTAGAAAGTTACCAGTAGTTCTTTCAGTTCATGACCACATTGCTGATACAAAAGACAGTATTTTTCGAATTTCCTCAGGATCATGTTAATTTAAACTATTGTCCCTTGAGCTTTGACTTCGAGTTTCCGTGATGCTGGGCTGTATTGTCTCGTTGTAATCAGTATCTCTTCTGTACTGTTCTATGAGAAGTGATGGCATGAACATACATGAACGAAAGGAATCTGATAGACTCATACCATTCAAATTTAGGCCTACATGATGTTAAATAGAAGTTTTCTTTTGTTGTTTGGCTCAAATACAACTAACCACATTCAATGTCAAACTTGAAAGCACTTGATGTAACCCTTTTTTGTCAATGCGATTTATTACACCAACCTTTACTTGACAAGCTTCTTGTATGTCTTGTTGTGAACATTCTAAGTAATTTTTTTTTTAAACATTTGGATTAGGTTAGAATTTATATGGACAATATAAGCATTCAAAGTTGAAGCTTCAACTTTTATAATAGGAGAGATTCATCCTTATTTGTGCTTAAAAGATTAGGCCCACTTCTTGTTAATGTTGCTTTCTGATTTCCTTTAAGCAGAAATGTCCATGGTACTAGCTTTTATTTGGACTCCAAAGTCTTCAATGATGGCCACCAGCTACGAGATGGAGGCTTCTGTATTCCTTATGAATCCCTTGCTAGCCATCAACCAGGTTCAGTGAATCTCCATCCATTATAAACTTCAGAAAATATTTCTCAATTTTGCCTGATCTTGGAGTTCTCTTTCCACCCTGCTAACCATCTCAGTTTCCTATATCCTCCATTTAATGGCTTGTTTACCTTGTTTAGTGGCTGGCTATCAATCTGCATCCTCTACCTGCAGCAACATCCCACAGCAGTCAACGCCACTAAGCAAGAGGGTCTCTATTACAGATGTTCAAATGGTAAACAATACACTATTTCCTGTTACTAATTCGTGTGTGATGTGAGAAATATTTTCTAGATGTTCTTGTACATTAAACTAATTATGGCTTAATTATTATTATATTTATACAAGGTAATGTCTCTAGTTCATCTCAGGCCTCTTAATAAATCTTGTCATATTTTGCTAAACCACTAGTTAATGATCATTTGAAAAGATTAGTGACAATCAATGCAAGAACAGAAAACGATTGAGTGAATTAAATTAAAAAACAGGTCTAGCTTGCATATCCCTCATGGAATATAAAACTCATTGGATGTTAGATAGCATATAGAGCAGTCCTTGTCACATATGGACTGGAAAAGAATATATTATTGAAGAACTTGATGGATAATTTTTTGTTGTGGCCATCCTAATGGACTTGCCTGCACTGCACCACAAAATTTGATTTAATAACAGTCTGTAGAACAGCAAAGTAGAGTATCAATCTCCTAATCTTACCCTTGTTCTTCAGGACTTTCAGGCCATGCAAATGAGGAAAAGGTCAATTGATGAGCTTACAAACCTACTACTTCAAAGAGAACCTAACGATCTCATTGAAAACAAGACTGCTTTGAGTACATGGAAGACTAAAAAGAGAAAGAAGGATAATTCCCCTCAAGAACCATGGAATCACCAAGCCAGAGAATCACTCAGCATCCAAGAGCAAAAGGTAGGAAGTGCATGTCAAGTATTAACAACAAGGGAAATGAAAGACCAAAATATGAAACAAACCAGAAATAGAACCAAAAGAAATAAAAACTGACAAAAACTTCATCCATTTCCAGAACATGAAAAGCACAAAGTTTTTTTTTTTTTCCCTCTCCTTCTAACCAAGCATCTGTTTTAAGTTCTTAAGGTTTTCTTTTTTGGCTGGCAGTTGCAGGTGCCAGTGAGAAGAAGCAAAAAGCTGAGTGACAAAATCACAACTCTTCAAAAGTTGGTCTCTCCATATGGCAAGGTCAGTTAATCTATATGTAAATAGATAGCATTCGTTTTATAGTTGCTGCTTTTCTATTCCTCAAGTGGAAACATTTATTCCCTTATCATCTTAGAAAACCGATTATGTTCTGGTTTTATTGCAGGCAGACACTGCCTCTGTTCTACTAGAGGCTTCTCTTCACATCAAACTCCTTCAAGAGCAAATCCAGGTATAAATCTGCTCAGCTAATTATTTAGTAATGAATTATTCAAATGTTGATTAACCTTTTTTTTATATAAATTATTCCTGGTTCCGGTACAGAATCTGTTTCAGATGCTGACAAGCTCACGCAATAGTACAAGACCTATTCAACAGTCACAGGTTGCTAGATTTACACGAGATCTTTAGCATTTTAGCCATAGATTAATTCATTCAAGCATATCTCTATCACTCTAATACTTCTGTTAAAAACTTGCGCATATCACAGGAAACTGACGGTGAACTGCGAGACCTGCAAAGTAGAGGACTTTGCTTGGTTCCCATATCGTTTATGCAGAAAAATGACTCAGCAGCCAGACCAAGTTGATCCTAATTCTGATCCAAGGAAGATCGTCTATGCCATAAATTCCTAGTTTCTGCCCCCAATTACACATATTTAGCTTGACCTCAACACAGCAGAATTTTCTTCTTAATCCACTTTAAAGCTCCCATTATCAAGGAAACTAGTCACTTTCATACTTAAGGGCACCAATTTTGATTGGTATTTGGTGGGATATTAAGTTTTTTGTTATGTTTGGGGACTTGACCTATAGAGAGATCTGATTTCTTGTTCATCTGCTACTGCCATTTTACTCCTTTCCATCTTTTTTCGTTAGGCCTGTGTGTTTCCCTTGTCAAAGTTTCATGAACATGTGGTACTGATCGATTCAAGTGGGGCTGCCCTCACAATTCACAATTAATTTGAGGCCATCAATTCACAGCAGCAGCATTCCCCTTTCTCTTTCTGGACCACAATCTCAGATGCATGAAGTTTATAAATTTTGATTGTCTGAGTTATTTTTATTGTTCAACAGGATTTTTATTATTATTAGCCTAGGCTCTGTTCAAATTTCTAAAGACCAATCCTTAATCCTGACAAAACTCGTCGGTTTGGGCCTCAAAGCCCATCACAGAACCATAGAACATGGGTTACAGCAGTCCATCATAACCCAGCATAAAACGTAGTCGTACTGACTCAATAAAAGCTAGTTTCACCGCCCAAGAGGCGGCACTCTTTCCCACCATATTCCAAAACGTGGCACCATATCAATGGATCAAAACGCCAGCGATCACTGACCGTGACGGTAATACTAGTGAAAGAATCACCACAGACACAAATACCAAACGTCAGAGAAAGGAAATAAAAAAAAAAAAAGGCCACCACAACTTTAAATTTGTTCAAACCCAACACAAACAAAAAAGTGGAAAAAAAAAAAAAATTAAAGGGGAGAGAAAAGGAAGAAAAAGAAGAAGTCTATCTTTATCACCTCCTCCACCTCTCCCTCCCCCCCCCCCCCACTCCCCTC